GAAAAACAATAATCAAAAAATTAATTTAACGAAATAATGAAAGTAAGATGAAAGTAAAATTTTAAAGAATAAAAAAAAAAAAATATGACATATAAAAATCTACATCTATTCTTTATGACCGAACTTACCTCGTCATCCTTTTTCATTCTTTTTTTCTCTCCATTTGTTTTCTTCTTTTTTTCTTTTTTTTTTTTTCTTTTTTTCTTTTACTCCTATTGGTGGTCGGAATTTCTAATTTACATCTATTCTTTTCACGATGTATTTTATCCGAGTAAAATACATAAACACACACACACATACATACACATACACACAGATACACAGATACACACATATACGATATACTATAGCAAACTTCTCTCATGAAACAATGGTACAACAACCGTATGTGAAAAAAAGCTTGCACGCTTTTATTGAAAAGTGGTGTACACATTGTATTATATTTCTGTTTCTTGTTCTTTGTCACTATAATTGAATAAACTAACATGCATACATGTATATGATTGAAACGAAAACCCGAAACAAAAAAAAAAAATTGATTATTAATGAAGCAAAGTTCCCATTGAACTATATTATTGTCGTACGAAACGACATATATACATAATACATATATATATATATATATATATATATATATATATATATATACATACATGGTACACGTACTCGTTAAATGAATGAAGAAATAAATTACGTGTCGAATGAATGAATGAAAGAAGACAAGAAAGAAAGAAAGAAAGAAAGAAAGAAAGAAATAGTTGAAAGTACAAATTGAATCATACCTCCATATCTGTGATAAGAAAAGGAAAAAAAAAAAAGAAAAAACCAGAAAAAGAAAAAAGAAAGTAAATAATGCTGACAGTGATGAAAAAGGTATTAAGACGTCGACAAGTCGGGCGGTATATAAAATTCAATCGTTTTATTAATTGACAAAGTGTTCATAATTAATACCGATGTAATTCCACGTGAATTTCGGACGCGAATGCACATGGACATGACACCGAGACGCGTCTCGTAATGCATGTTACGTAATAACAAATATGTACACACGAAGATTATGTAACAAACTAGTGATATACTTTGAGAATGAATGTAGGATGGGTTGGAGATATGGGGGTTGGCTGTGGGGAAGGAAGGGGAGGGGTAGGTGGAATTGGGTGGATGTTGTTTGGTATGCAAAGGTACAAGGAAGAAATAATCGGCCGTGAAAGAAGGAAAGATTTGCTTTTTGTCATTTTTTCTTCTTCGTCTTCTTCTTCTTTTTCTTTTTTTCTTTCGTTCGTCACGGTTATCGATTCGATCGATGAATTTCGTTGAAGGAGGATCCGCGAACTATGTACAAATGTCTCATCGTCATTTTCGGAGACATCGACGTCTAAAAAGGAAACTTTCTCTCTCTCTCTCTCTCTCTCTCTCTCTCTCTCTCTCTTTCTCTCGCTTTTTGTTCTTCTTTTTTTACTTTTCTTTCTTTTTTATGCAATTCTTTTTTTTTCTTTTCTTTCCTCTTCTTTTCTTTCTTCTTCTTTTGCTTTTTTTTTCTTTTTTTTTCTTTCATCATCCCTTTGTCATTTGGGTTACGAGATATTCTCGGGCACTCACGCAAGCAGGCAAGGCGGGCAGACAAGCGGACAGACAGATATTCAAAATTCAGAGACAGGTGTCTAACCGACACCTAGCTAAAATTGCTTCTTTGCTGGTAACACCAGCTCTTTTACCAGTCTCTGTCCCTTTCAGTCTCGAAAACACGTCACAACACGATGTTCTTTCTTTCTTTCTTTCTCTCTCTCTCTCTCTCTCTCTCTCTCTCTCTCTCTCTCTCTTCTTTTTCTATTTCTCATGAGCGAAAAATCACGAGTCGAAAAGTTCTCTGTTCGTTCTCATTCGTCTAACGTTAGATCAGCCTTCGAGTCTCTTTTATATCGGCTGAGTGTAAAAAGGAGAGTGATGGGAAGGGAGAAAGGGGAAGGAAGGGAGGAAAGAAAGAAAAAAAAAAAGGAAGAAAAAAAAAAGGACAAGGGAAAAAAATTCACGCAGCCGAGAGATGCATCGAATCTATTAACGCGATCGATCTCGTCTTTCTTCGATGAAACGTATACAGGAGATCTATGCGGATCTACGATAGATTTGTTGTGTGTGTGTGTGTGTATGTGTGTGTGTTTTTCTTTTTTTTTCATTTTGCTTCTCTCACAATGTCTTTTTAAAGAGAGACAAACTCGTGCGGCGGTTGAATGATCCGTGGCGGTGGAGGTGGCGATAATCTCAAATCCACGTCTGTCAGGGAGAACGCGGAACTTCCATTGGCAGTGACCCTCGGGCCCATATTGTCATAAGGTGAACCAAGATCGGCGTTGCGAAGGGCTCGTCGAGGAAGAGTCGCAAAACTGGATACACAGGGGGTCGAAGGCAAGGCTGCGACCGTGTTCTTCTCGGTAACACCACTGATAACACCGTGGACGGGTATGTCGAGTAGATCGGGATAACAACGTTCCGTCGAGTCCTGCGGCAAAGATACGGAGATGAAGATGTTGCCAAAGATGCCGGCTGGTAGGACTCCCGTTGTAAATTCTGGCGGCGGTGGGGGAAAACCGGGGGCACATGGAATGGCACGACACACGGTAGTCGAATTACTTATCTCTGGTCTGAGTCTTTCGATGGTCACCGTTGCGGCTCCCATGTGATCACAGATAGAAACACGTTCGGCCAGTTCAAGGTCACCTGTACTACATGCCTCGGCCAAACTACCATGACCACTGGCACGATCGTTCGCGCTACCAGCCGTCGTAGTTGTAACCGACAGATCCAAGAGTTTCTTTTCCTGATCCCCGAAGCTCGTACTACCTTGGAGTTTGACCTTTTCGCGTTTACCGTTACGACGTGAGCCACCGCACAAGCAAAAAGCCATAAGAATGACAGAAATGGAAGCACCAAGAGCGGCCGCACCACCACCTGCCAGACTAACCCAAAGCAACCAATTGTCGCTCTGGGATAAAGTCGGTGCGGTATAGATACGTGGTATGGCGACGCTTACCGTATCCCTTGCAAGACCTGCTATGTTTCTCGCAAAACACGCGTACTCCCCTGCGTCGCCGTCGCTAGCATTGTATACCGTTAAATTGCTCCACCTGTCGGTGGCTCTCTCGGATTTCTCATTGTAGACAACGTTCGTGTCCGAGGATACGTGAGATACGTAAGTTCCTACGTATGGTTGATCGGAGATTCTTGTTGCGTTAACAGGACCACCATTGAGTTGCCACCAAACTTCGGGTTCTGGGTCTCCGGTAGCCAAACACGCGAGACTCAAGTTACCATTCGTTTCCTCCTGTATCGTACTAGCCAATACAAATACCTCGGGCTCGCAGGCAAATTCGACGGGCTTTACCTCTTCCCATCTTCGACCTTCCAATCTCTCTGGCGTTGAACACAACTGTGGCACGGAATATAATTTACTCGGTGTTTCCGGTATAAGCCAAGTACGAAATCCTCGTAATCTACAGTCGCAACTCCAACGATTACCGTCCAAGGTGAGAGTCTTTAGACGAGGTAGACTCGATATGACCGAAGCTTCCAAGTACTCGAGTTCGTTGCCATCGAGTTTCAAAGATTCCAAGCCTACGAGTCTCACGAAGGCTTGCCCGTGTATATCGGTCAACGAACACCTCTGCAACTCCAAATTTCTAAGATGTTGGAGAACTGGAAATTGATGACTCTTGAGAGCAACCAAAGGATTACCGCTGAGTATAAGAATTCTGAGCCTCTCGTTACCGAGAAAAGTGTCCGGTTCTAAGCTTCTCACGTGATTGTCCGAAAGATCGATTTCTACTAATATCCTCATGTCTCTGAACGAGTCCGCGTGGATCTCGTGTATACCGGCGTTTCTTAGAAAAACCCTTTGAAGGTTTAACAAACCGGCACGTTTGAAGATCTCCGATTGTAGGGCTGGTATTTTGTTGCCCGACAGATCCAAAACTTGCATGTCTGGATCCAAAGAGGCTGGTAGCGACGTCAATCCAGCGTCCGGACAGAGAGCCGACTTTTTTCCGGACGTCCACTTGCATCTGCAAACAGCTGGACAGTCCGTCCAATCCGGAAATGCTGCCGCTTTCGAGGGCAAGGCGAAACTTCCGACGAGTAAGAAGAGGGCAAGTAATATGCGCCCTCGTAGAGGGTGTTGCCTTTTCACTAACATAATCCTCCGGCAGTTCCTTTCCCCGTGGTCTCTGCGATCACCTTACTTGATTTGATCGTCGATCGGCACTTCGTCGGAAGACGCGATCGAAAGACACGGTCAGCCGACCGTCGTTATTCCTCGATTAGCTCGACAAGGACGAGCCTGAAAAGTGTCAACGAACGAAAACGATCGAATGAATATAACGAAAGAATAATTATCGATAGAAGTTATTAATCGTTTCTATTCGAACGAAACAAAAACAAATTTCCTATAATCTTTTAATGGCATTATGTGTAAATCGGTCGTAGGCTGGCATTAGAATCGGATAGATAAAGGAGAAGGTAAAGAAAAAGAAAAGAAAGAAAGCAGAAGGAATAAAAAAGAAAAAAAAAAAACAGAAGAAAAAAAGAAAAGAAACGATTAATCCGATAACACGATATCGGCAACCATAGAAACGTATCCTCCGATAAAACTATTAGAGGAAATAAGTCTCTCTTTTATTAGGATTTAATTTTTTCCTTCCATTGCTTTGATTATTTTCAATATGTTCACTATATTCCCCTCTTTCCGAAATTATGCGAGAAAATAAAGGATAAATTAAAGCGTATCGGTAACGAAGCGCCTTGTTCTTACTTTGTAAGAAGAGTGTTTCCCTTGGGCACGGCTAAACATGGTCTCCACGAATCTGAAAGAGGCCGTCATGCTTGCGTGGACGCTTCCATTGTTTCTCAGGAGCTTTCATTTTGCCCACCGGTCCTTCGGGCATCGCGAGGCTATTGTTGCCGGAGTCTTGGATTTCATCCTGATTAAGTAGACTCAATGCACGCGTAGACCGGAACTCGGCCTACTTTCGATTCCACGGATATATTCTTACGGCTTAAGCTGTAAAATAAGGAAAGGAGAGAAAGAGAGAGAGAGAGGGAAAGAGAGAGAGAGAGAGAGAGAGAGAGAGAGGGAGAGTTAAGATTAGCAACGATCTAACTTAGTAAGCGCACGTGACGGTAAAGGAAAGATGAAACAAAAAAAAAAAGAAAAGAAGAAAAAAGAAAAGAAAGAAAAAGAGGGAGGGAAAGAGACGTGGCGAGCGGGGGAGGAGGTATATGAATCCTTCGATAATCAGACATAAAACGTGAAAACAAAGTCGTTACCTAATAATACGGAAGCAATCCGATTTCCAAAAGAACCACGACATTTCCCCTCTCTCTCGAGCTTCTCATGTTTCTACCCATGTTGTCCACCTTCCTGTCCGAACAAAGTCAACGCGTTAATCGCTGTCACGCTTGACTTCCTTCTCTTTTGCGCCTCTGAGAATCACCAGTTAACTTTCAAATTCATCATCTCGCCTGTGAACGAAGGATAAATGCTTACACTTAGCTTATCGTCGGCGAAACGAAAAGAGATAGAGAGAGAGAGAGAGAGAGAGAGAGAGAGAGAAAAAGAGAGAAAAAAAGAGAGCAAAACTCAGAGGGAAGACAAAGTGTCTGTGTGTATGTGTATGCGTATGCGTGTCTTCGTACGTGATTGTGCGTGCGCGTTAGCCTTCCTGCCTGCCTGCCTGCCTGCCTGCTTGTCTGTCTATCTGTCTGTCTGTCTGTTTATTAAAAAAAAGCTCTCGTTTGGAAGTAAAAAAAACAAAAAAGCAGAGGAGGATGAAAAAAAGGGAAGAAAAAAAGAGTTCTTTGACCTTCCACGTTCGAAAATGAGGAGTAAGACACGAACGTCGTTAGATAACACGGTTGAATACGGACTCAAGGTAGAAAAGTTGCTCTAGGTTTTCTCCGCTCATCGACCTGAAAAAAATTGCAGGCGTTCGGGTCCCATCGGTGTCTCTAACAAGTGCATCGCCGATCGGGCCGGCCATCGACCGCAGCGCGACCGTTCCATTACATCACGGCTTGGTACTTGAATTAATGCACGCACACACGAACGAATTCAGAGTGCCGTTGTATCGCGCGCGCCCAACCAATCGCGCTCTCGCTTATAACCTCCCTCGAGCCTTAAAGACGAGCGTACAACGTTTCACTCTCGAAATTGCGAGCGTCGGGGACAATGATGCTGCGCAACCGTCGGTGAATCTCGCGAGAGATGGAAGCAGGGCGGTTGAGAGAGAGAGAGAGAGAGAAAGAGAGAGAGTGGGAGGGAGTTAGGGAGAGAGACAGGGGAGAGAGAGAGAGAGAGAGAGAGAGATAGAGGGAGAAAAAGGAAAAAAATTAAATATTTCTCTCTCTCTCTCTCCCTCTCTCTTTCTCTCTCTTACCTACTCGTGTAAACTCTTGTCAAGAAAATATCACAAAGGTAAAGAAAGAAGGATAGGGATAAAGGATAAAAGATCAGGGTTTAAAAGTGGCAATTACTTTTTGTCTCGAAAGATGCACTTTACACTCAATCACACCAAAAGAGAGACAGATCACCGTCAGAATCCTCACCGTCCGTGAATGATCGTGCGGTAGACGACGTATTCCCAGAAAATTGGGAAAGCTTGTAACAGTAGAAAAAGAAAGAAGAAAACCCGTGAACTAGCATCGGCGGATATCAGGTCCGTCTTCCTTCTTAGTTTCCCGTCCGATCAATCAATCTTCTCGCGGCTGGAGTTTCGTGGCAGGCGACAACGACGACGACGCGACTCCGCGGGAATGGCGAGAGGCGTACGCGGGCTCCATGCTTTGAGAACGGACCAAGAGGGATCCGTCACTTCCTCCATCGAGAATCCTCATCGTCTCTCTACCTGTCTCTCTGTAGAACACCGAACGGTGAGCCAGAGAGAAAGAGTGACTAAGAGAAAGAGAGAGAAAGAGAGAGACGGATAGTGGCGAAAGAGAGAGAGAGAAAAAGAGAGAGAGAGAGAGATGACGAAGAGAGGGAGAAAGGGATCGAGTGTGTCACTGTCTATCTATCTATTTTTCTCTCCCTCTCTCTCTCTCTCTCTCTCTCTCTCTCTCTCTCTCGATACGTCTCTTCTTCGTATATGCGCGCCAGCCAGTATCTCCCTTCTTGTCTAACGATGAGAGAGAGAGAGAGAGAGAGATAGACAGAGAGTGGGAGATGAAGTGGCGGTCGAGAACAAGAGAGAAAGAGCCAGTGCCGTCGTCCTCCGGCAAAGGATTCAACACCGAGGGGGTTGGCCGTACTCGAAGCTACTACTTTCGTAGTCACGACGAAGGTGTACTCTCACGAGAGTCGAAAGTTGCCGAATAATCCGTACGAAGGGTGTGCAGTCACCGCTTATTTTCAACGTTCACCACGGAACTCTGCAGATTTGCCGCAGCGGCCACCGACACGATGAATCTGTATCCGCGTATCCAAACCTCTCTCTCTCTTTTCCATCCACTCCCGCTTCTCCTTCTTCCTTCCTTTCCCCTTCCCCGTCCCATCATCTATATCTATCTCCGTCCCTCTTTTACTCCTTCGCGCCTATCCACTCTCTCGAAATCCCCCACTCGCTTGGTTCAACCCCTCTTTCTCTTTCTCTTTCCCTCACCTTTTTCTCTTCAACCCCCTACTCTCTCTCTCTCTCTCTCTCTCTCGCTTACTCTCATGAATTTCCTTGCCGCATAGTCGTCGCGAGCAGCACCGTCGAATTCTCTTCGTTGCGTTCAATGAAAACCACCACCGCCACCACCACCACCACCACCACCACCGCCACCACCACTTCCACCACCATCACCACCCTTGACTTCAGCCTATTCCACTGTACGAACCCTTCGACCTCAGCGACAACCTTCCAAACTTCATACCGATTTTGTCCTCCACCAGACGTCGCCTCGAACGATCGAGGGCGGTAGCGATCGACGTTAAACCCCCCTCGCGTCCCTCTTATCTTTGACTTACGTTAGCCAATGTTCTATCGGTCGTTCTATGTAATATTCTTTCTTAGGAAAAATAATCGATAGGCGGATTCTCTCTCTCTCTCTCTCTCTCTCTTTCCCCTCCCCTTTACGAGTGGGTGGTAGGTAGGTAGGTAGGTAGGTAGGTAGATAGGTAGGTAGGTACAGAGCTCCACCTTGTTCAGAAATCCTCGCCGATGATGTTTTACCGACATAGTTTAGGGTAGTTGCGCAAGACACCACGTCGATTAGGGAGGAACTCTATTTCGTGATATAACGCTGATCTCTCTACGATCGATTTATCTTCTAACGTAGCACGTCCTTGATGGTATTCGGGTCAAGTGAAAAAGAGAATAAGATTCCTTTTCACATCAAATGAGACTTCGTACGAGGCTTTCTTTTTTTCTTTCCTTTTCTTTTTTTCTTTTTCTTCTTTCTTTCTTTTCTTTTTTTTTTTTTTTTTTTTTTTTTTTTATTCTTTTTTTACGCTCCAAGACGATTTCCAATCTCACGATCGAAAGATTAAGCGTAAACGCTGCTTGATTACTCATCTAAGTACTTTTACTAATTTTCTTATTTTCTTTTATTATGTGTATTAATAAAAATGACGAGAGAAAAGGAAATGACAAAAAAGAAAAGAACAAAAAAGAAGACAAAAAAAACAAACAGACGTCTTTTCTATCTATATTCCTATATCTATTCATATATATATATATATATGTGTATGTGTGTGTGTGTGTGTGTGCGTATGTACTTACATTTATGATTAATCATAGTTACTTCGAATTGATCCGTTCTATGAATTCCAATTCAGAGAGAAAAATCAACTAAACGAATTCGGTCCTGATTCGTTTGTGTGTTTATATATATATATACACACATATGAATGAATGTTATATACATATATATATATATATATATGTATGCATGTGTGGATTGGCGATTCCGAAAGCTAAATTGATTTAGGTCTATAGGTATGTATCTATACGTGATGTTCTATGAATAAGAAACGATTATTATCTAGAGAACGATTATTATCTAGAATAATTGCATAATATGCAGAAAGAAGAAAAATCATCCACGTGCATATATGTTACAACCATTCTAATTTCTCATGTTAATTTATTAACGTTCACTTTTTTTGTTCTTTATTTTGTTCTTTTAATTTTTTTTGTTTTATTTATTTTTTTTCTTTTTTTTTTTCTTTTTTTATTGATTGATCAGTCGACGAATAAAGGTGGGAGAAAAAGTAAGTGACGAACGGAGGTCGAAATTTGAAAAAAAAAAAAAAAAAAAAAAACTGGAAAAACCGCTCGTTTTTTCACGAGTAACATGCAACGTCACGAGACCCACGAGATTCCTATATGGAAATGAACTTTTATTATTGCTCTCTTTTTCTTCGCTAATTACACTCCGATTAAATCGAAGCACGATCTCGCATCTTCTTGATAACAAGAAGAAGGAGTAGTAGTAGTAGTAGAAGAAGAAGAAGAAGAAGAAGAAGAAGAAAAAATTATAAAGAAGCAGCTCGCTCACGAACACATATATACGTATATATCTCTCCTTTACTTTTCTTTCTTTTTTCTTTTTTTCTTTTTTACTAATTTTTTTCCTATTCTTTTTTCTGCTTTTTTCTGTTTTTTTTTTTTTTTTTTTTTTTTTTTGACACAAGGATCTTGCGCTTTTTCAAAGATTTTATTACAAGAATATAGTATAAACTTTCGTTCGATAAGTACGCACACCGTAGCGCACGAATTTTTATACATATAATCGCATCTCTCTCTCTCTCTCTCTCGCTCTCTCGCTCGCTCTCTCTCTCTCTCTCTCTCTCTCTCTCTCTCTCACCCACTCGCATTCCCGCGCAGAGGCCACGATAGTCATAGCTTCATATATAATTTTGTTACTTTTTTCTTTTTTTCTTTTTTTCTTAATTTTTTTGTCATCTTTCTTCCCCCTTCCTTTTTCTCTTTTCTCTCTCTTTCTCTCTCTCTCTCTCTCTCCATATCTTCCTCTTATTTTTTATCTCTGTCTCTTTTCTCTCAATAGTTTACGGTATATGTATAATAATATATATATATATATATTTTTTTTTTATGATCTTTTACCTTATATCGCGCGTCTATTGTATTTAGCTATAGGTAATATCTGTTTGTGTGTTACTCCTTTTTATATTGTTTTTTTTTTCCTTTTTCTTCTTTTTTGTCTTTTTTATTTTTTGTCCTTTTTTGTTTTTTTATTTTTTTGTTTTTTTTCTTTACTGGAAACATACTTGGCAAATTCACGTCTAATAAGTACAACGAAGCATTTTTATAATGGGTTTTTTTTTTTTTCCCTTGTATTTTTTCATTCCTCTTCCTTCCTGTATATATATTATATATATATCTCTTCTTCTCTTTATAATCCTCGACCACGAAAGGGCTGCGCTCGTTCACTTCACCGTGGTCATGATTTTCTTGCCCAACATCGGTCGCCCATCAGCTTCGACGCTCTGAAACACGTCTCCCGGTTCCTCCTGCGTTTCAGCGCGTGCTTGCGTGCTTTTTTGCGTGCGTACGTACGTGCGTGGGTGCGTGCGACACGTCTCTCACACTTTCATTCTCAATATTTCACTCATTCTCACTCATTCTGAATCGCGCGCACACACACATACACACACACTTTCTCTCTCTCTTTCTCTCTCTCTCTCTCTCTCTTTTTTTTCCTTTTTTTCTTTAATTATCTCTTGCCCGTATTCATACGTTCGCATACACACACATGCACGTGCTTTCTTACTTACTTACTTACTTACTTACTTTCTTACTTACTTACTTACTTTTCTTTCTTTTTCGTACTCGCTTGCATTCAGGCGTATACTCATATACATACACATACATCCATACACCCACACGCACACATACATACACACACACACACACATACACACACACACACTCTCGTTCTTTCTTTCTTTCTTCTCTGCGAGGACCACCGTCGCACGCGTGCAATTGATATGTCAATGGTTTCTTTCACAGCGAAGTTCCAGCTCGTCCGAGGGAAAGCGTAGTTTTTCTTTAAACTTTTCTTATCTTTCTCTCTTCATTTCTTCCTCTATCTCACTCTCTCTTTCTCTCTCTCTCTCTCTCTCTCTCTCTGTCCTTCTCACTTGCTTTCTTCCTTTCTTTCCTTCCTTCCTTCCTTTCTTCCTTCCTTCCTTCCTTCCTTCCTTCCTTCCTTCCTTCCTTCCTTCCTTCCTTCCTTCCTTCCTTCCTTCCTTCTTTTAAAACGCATGACGTCGATCACCGTACTGCGTGTTGCTTAGGGCTCTCAGGGTTATTTCCAGCTGTTGGCTGGAAAAAATATGAACGAAGTGAAGCCGTCAGATCTTATTTGCCGATCGTTTGTAATCGAACGGTCTTAAAGTGTAAGTATAACATCATTCCCCTTCAAAAAAGGGTATTTTGCTGTATTATTATTAATATTATTATTTATTTATTTATTTATTTATTTATTTATTTATTTATTTATTTATTTATTTATTTATTTATTTATTTTCGTTTCCTTTTCTTTCGCACCTCGCAACAATCATTTACGATAATCGTTGATACATCGTTATTATAAATCGTACGAGCGCGAGTTTTAATAAAAAATGTTACTTTTACACTGAAAGACCAATTGGCTTACCTTTGTAATACAGATCCCTGTTCATCGTTGGACAATTTTTATGCCCTTGCTGAAAACAGGAAGAAAGGTAAAAAAAAAAAAAAATAAAAAAAAGAAAGAAAGAAAGAAAGAAAAAAGGAAAAGAAAGAAAGGAACAACGAAAAAGAAAGAATAAAGAGAAAGTGAGGGGAAAAAAAGGTGATCGAATGAATATTAATCGATTGAAATATAGGGATGGGTAGAGAAGAGAGAGAGAGAGAGAGAGTGAAAGGAAGGAAAAAGAACAAAAAAAGAGAAAAGAAAAAAGGAAAAAGAAAAAAGAAAAAAAACAAGAAAAAAAAAAGAAAAATAGAGAAATTATCAATGAACGTACGAATCAATGAATAAGAGAAAAAAAGCATCGATAGAAATTATTTTGTATACCTGCACGCTAAAATCGATGTTGGTACGAATTGGACGATGGTGGAGCGGTTGAATCGGTCTAATGTTGTTCCCCAGCTTCGCATTCGGATGTTTCATGTCACCCTGATACAACTGCCGCAGGGCATGGAGCTGCGATCACACGTGAAATCGGAAATGTGAAACCGTATACCGGGGGAGTCCCCGTTAAATGCGCTTTCGCTAGATCGATCCGCGTTTATCAATGTGTGCAGGAAAATTTAGTATATTGATGATAGATTCGTTCGCGCCTTTAAATTCTCACATCGATAGAGAAAGAGAGAGAGACTGAGAGAAAGAGAGAGAGAGAGAGAGAGAGTTTTTTCAAACGCGTATCCGGAACACGTCGGTATTATCGGGAAAAAACGTGGACACAAAAAGGTAGCAAAGTATTTGTTTCCCGATGGCGCTTTCGATGAATATCTTTTTCTATCTATCTATCTCTCTTTCTCTTTCTCTTTCTCTATGGAAAAGTGATTAACGATACTCCTTTTACTTCGTTTGCGATGGAAATACTTATTTTCCATCTCGATAGCGTTCATTTCGCCGGAAATAACGGAAGTTTAAAAAATCATCGATAAAGAGAGGACCTATAGTATTCTACCACTTGTACGTATATATATATATATATATATATGCATACATACATACATAGATATACGTGTGTATGGTAATCAACGAGAACGAACGAAAAATCGATCTCTCGACCAAGTAATTTGCTACCTTCTCTGTCTCTCTCTCTCTCTCTCTCTTTCTCTTTCTATCTCTATCTTTCTCTTTCTCTTTGTGTTCCCAGATACGAAGACGAAAATTATAGGGAAATCGAGAGAGAGAGAGAGAAAGAGAGAGAAAAAGAGAGAAAATACGAATTTCCACATCCCCGAATTTGACTATAGCAATCGATTCGGGAAGGAGAAACGACAGAATGGTCGATCGACTTGTACCGTCCTCTCTTTCTCTCTCTCTCTCTCTCTTTCCCTCAGGGAAAAAGACAGAGGGAAATAGAGATAGAGATAGAGATAGAGATAGAGATAGAGATAGAGATAGAGATAGAGACAGAGAAAGCGAGAGAGAGAGAGAGAGAGAGAAATAGATAGAGAGACTATCGTAAATCGTAGACTATGCATGCGATTCTCACCTGCTGCTTCGTAATATATATCGGCTTGTTCAGTATTATCCACGTCGTGGTCTCATGGCAGGCCGGCATCGTGGTTGAACCATCGTACGTCATGTAATGCTTCGTGTCCGGTAGGAGATCGCGCACGACGAAATGTGTAATTTCCACGGCCTGCCCTGTGCAATTCGTTCGGTCGATATCGTCAAACATGCCACGTACGCAACACACCTACAACCTAACGGATTAGTATCGACATACCGAATACAGACTTGCATTCTGTTGCACCCGTTATGCATGTGTCCGTATATTTATATATATATATATATATATATATATATATATATATATATATCACACACGAGTATGTTTGTTATGTATGTTTGGGTATATATGTATGCATGTGTGTGTGTGTATGTGTATATATATATATATATATGTATGTATGCGTACGTATCGAGTCCTTTTTCTATCTATCTATCTCTCTCTCTCTATCTCTCTCTCTCTCTCTCTCACTCTCGCATTCTCCCATGTAGTCTCATATACATAGATACATTCTCCTCCCTCTCTATTTCTCCCACATTCACATCCGATCGAATATCTCTCCTTCCGACGAACGGACATGAAGAAAGCGTTTCGAATGGAAATCAAATGGCTTTCAAAGCGCTACAGGACGCGCCAATCGATTCTTTATGCTCCCTCGTTTCGTTACCTTTTCTTTTGTTCTATATATATATATATATTTGTATGTGTGTGTGTGTGTGTGTGTGTGTGTGCGCGCGTATTTGTGTATCTATATATGCGTGGATATATACATGTATGTTATTTTCCCTTTATATTTGCATGTATAGATAGATACGTTGTACGCATAGAAGTATTATTCCTACATGCGTTTATTTATGGTAAAATGGACATCTCTCTGTCTCTCATTCTCTCTCTCTCTCTCTCTCTCTTTATTTCTTTATTTCATTTTCTATTCCTTTCTTTCTCCCATCCAGCCTTCTTTCTTTTGTCTCCTTCGAAATTGAACAATTTACGAAAGAGATAGATAAGAAAAATCTTTCTCGCGAGCGATTTCTCTCGTGGACTTTGAATGTCCCCTGCGAATCCCCATTTCTTCTTCTTCTTCTTCTTCTTCTTCTTCTTCTTCTCTTACTACTTCTTATTCTTCTTCTTCTTCTTCCACTTTTCCCTTTTTCGTCTCTTCCTATTTCTATTTCTACTTTTTCTACTACTACTTCTTCTTCTGCTTCTTCTTCTTCTTCTTCTACTACTACTTCTTACTCTTTTCTGTCGCGACAAAAATATGAAGACGAATTTAAACTTGGAGACACAGAATTATAGGACGTGTAACGTTGAGATAGTTCGAGGCAATAAGGGAAGGAGTTTTCCCCGAGCTTCACGTTCTTTTTCCTATTCTCGAACAAACGTGATAAGAGTCGGAAAAACAAAAAAAAAAAAAAGAAAAAAAAAAAAGAAAAATTGTAGTTTTCCCTTCGAGCCATCATCTATACACACACACACACACACATACATATATATATATATAATATATATATAGGTAAGCGTGCCTTATTTCTCGACAATTTAAAAAAACTGATGCGTCGCGCTCGTTTATCTCGTTGCGGGCTTACATTTAATATAAATACGCGTTCGCGCACGACGCTATCGTAAAACATTAACAAAGAGAGCGAACGTTTGCGCACTCTTACTCTACTCCGGCAATATACATTAACGTGGAACAAGTTTACCGTTAAATAAATGAAATGGATTTTGATGTCTTCCTCTTTTTCGCGCTTTTCAAAGAGGGAGGAGAGAGAGAGAGAGAGAGAGAGAGAGAGAGAGAGAGAGAGAGAAAGTGGAAATAAAAAGCGTTTTCGAGAGCAGAGCTTGTCGTGCTCGGTACCATATAACTTCTGTCTAAAACGGCTTTTTCCGTATCTCCATCAGAAACAGAGAAATTCGCACGAGAGAATTTCAATAGGACATCCTGCAAGTTCTACTCGTGTATACGTGTATACGTATGTGCAAGTACGTGTGAATGACCCCGCCCATCCTCATAGATACACGTGGGTGTGTGTATTGCTATGTATGTACGAGTTAGAGAGAGAGAGAGTGAGAGAAAGAGAGAGAGAGAGAGAGAGAGAGAGAGAGAGTGCTCGAGTACCACAGTAGTATAAGTCAATTATTTCTTTTGACGAGAATCGCCAAAGTTCGGCTGAAAGTTTAATGGAAAAATCTGGCCAAAGTTTAAAGTGACGTAGAACGACCAGTGACGGCCGAACCGTATTATATTAGTATTATTATTATTTTTTTTTTTTCTTATTTTTTATTTATCTTTTTTTTATCTAATTATGTTTCTCTTTTTTTTTTGTTTTCATTATTTTTCTTTATCTTTTTATTTATTTATTTTTTTACTTTTTTTTTTTTCTGACTATGGCACCATTCAACCATTCTAGAAACGATATTAATCTCTCTTATTTACTTCTATACAGTATATTGGCGTGTATTTATTTTTAAGAGTTAAAACGTCGTTCTGAGTATTTTAAGTATGCGAAAGTTATCTACGTTAACCGTATAGAAAATGAGCTCTATATCTTTTTCTCTCTCTCTCTCTCTCTCTCTCTCTCTCTATATATATATATATATATATATATATATATTTTTTTTTTTTTTTTCTTTTCCCTTTGTTAGTCTGATAAAAAATAGTACAATTTTCCGTGCATTGGCGAACGAGAAACAATTAGTGTTTCTTTTCGAGTTTGTATTATTATTACAATCGAGTATATATATATATATATATATATATATATATATACAAGGCGATTGAATTTAATTGTAATTTAAATATGAAAAGAAGAGTAAATTTTGAGCTCGTTGTCTCAAGTTAAAACATTTCATCGAGTTATTTGACGTTTAATCGACGTTAACTCATTTACGTTTTATCAACGTAACGTAAATCTTTACTGAATAAGGAGAGACAGAGAGAGTGAGGGCGAGAGAAAGAGAGAGATAGAGAGAGAAAAAGATAGAGAGAGAGATAACAGACGTGCAATCTAATCACGCGTATCCGTAATTCCTTACGCGTCCTCAGCGTCTTCTCACCTCCGTATTTGATTTGATCCAGTTGTTGGGTAAACGTTCTCAGTTGTGGATTCGACAGATCTCCTACCTGAAAGACAACCGAGAGGTGTCTATCACGTATCACATATTCTGATCACAGTTTCTCCATCTCACTCTCTCGTTCTCCTTGCTTATACTCCCTTTCCTCTTGTCAGGCGACTATCAATAAGCGTCGACAATGAGAACGAGAGAGACAGAGAGAGAGAGAGAGATAAAGATAGAGAGAGAGAGAGAGAGAGAGAGAAAGCTATATATCTATATATGAAGGTAAAAAAAATAAAAAGATAGATATAGAGTTAGATGAAGTGAAGAAAAAGAAAGATTAAGCATGTACCTGAAGTAAAAGGGAGACTGCAACGATCCCTTGTGCTCTGTGCAAGGCATCCGAAAAATTGTTGTACAGCTGGGAATTAAATCCGAATATTTGGAGCTGTAATGAGAAAAAATAAAGAAAGAAAAAAAATATATACATATGTATATATATATATATATATATATATAAACATAGATTTTATATAAATGTAGAATAAAGTATTAAGAATATAGAATAATACAATAAGTAGAAAGAAGAAAAAAAAAGAAGGAATCTCTGGTATTTCGAGAATAAGAATAGAAAAAGTTCATTTCGGAATATGGGAATACTCGTAACCTGTGTGAAAAGGTCGCGAAGACACTCCTTTATTTCGACCGGGATCGCTAATCCAATTAATTTAATCGAACCGTAACGTTCCGTTGAATGGAATACGTAGGAATAGAGAGAAAAAGTGGGAGAAAAAGACAACAGCTTTTATTACCCTTAGACACGAGAATTATGTTGCTTACTTTCGTCGACTTTCCTTTGCTATCTAAGAACCGTCTAATAAGCGGAAATGTCGCCTTCGGTAAAAGCTAAAAAGATAAAAAAAGAAAAAAAAGACAAAAGAAAAAAAAATATATATATATATATATATATTCGACGAAATACGATCGATTCGATATCCGTGATCCGTGCTCGAGTGTCGATAGAGGAGACGAGTGTCGATAAAGCATCTACTTCGAGCATCTTTTCCTTTTATATATATATATATTTTTTTTTTTCTTTTTTATTTCTTTTCCTTTTCTTTTTTTTTCTCTTTTTTTTTCTCCACTTTTTTTTCTTTCTTTTTATATTAGCCCCCCTTTAATCGCATTATCTTCTATCTTATCCATCGAAAAGTTTTTAATCGACCACGCATATAAACGTAAAACGAATAATATTATTAAACGGAATTTCGACACAACGAAATTCACTTATAATATTATCGATTTATCATCGAGATTCCTCTCGTCGAAACTTATTTTTTTCGAAACTAATCTTTCACCGAACATATTTGTCGGTCACATCAGAATATTCGTTAATAATCGATCGTTCTAATCTATTCTCGTTATTGGCATTTAGCGTGGCAAATAGACGTCATTGTTCTAATCATAAAAATGACTGAGATAAAAAAAACGACGAATCATTTATTTAAAAGGGAATATTTTCTTAACCAAATTTAGATTGACGAATTTGTAGAAGGAAATAATTTTAACGGTACTATCGTACACCTGGTCATAACATTTCCAATATTGGTAATATCATATTCGACGATCGTTAATGGTTATAATTAAGAGCTCGGGTTTAAACGGTTTGATTTTTTATAAGAAGGGAAAAATGATATCAAGGTCGCGAGTCTTGGGATCGTAGACGTCGTCGTCGTCGTCGTCGTCGTCGTCATCGTTGTCCTTATCGTTGTTGATGGTGATGATTGTATCCGAAGGCGATAATTAGTCGTATCGATATATGTACGTATATACACACACATACACACATACACGTACATATATATATATATATATACACACACACACGTCTCTATATAGAAACACGTATATAGATCTAGCGATGGTGGAAGATGGGGAAATCGAACGTGCTTTCGTGCTATTGGCACGAGATAGTTAGACGGATCGTTAAGCGAATAATACAATGAATCGAATACGGTAAACTACCAACCTCGGCGGGAAACGCGTGTCCATCGATAGTATGCTCGCTACCGATGTGTTCCTCTAAGCCGAAATGCAGGTGAATCTCGTGAAACTGGTAGCGATAGCTGAGGGGCCCACCGGATATATTGACAGGATGGCGGGTATCGTTTTCGACCGCGAATACCACACTGTGACCGGTGTTTGCCAGGACTCCACCGACTTTGTGCTTGTCGAGGTGTAATGGTTGTAAGTTTGGGTCGAAGAGAAGTCTGCTCGGCTCCAAGTTAACCGGTGATTGTCGTCTCCCTTTGTTACATAGCCACCAGTCTGGATTGATGAGGCCCCAGAAGGCAGGACCTTTGAATATTTCATCACAATTAAAAAAAAATCTTTTCGTTTATTTGCTTCTTGTATTATTTGTTATTCTTTTTCTCTCTATCATTCCATCATTCTCTCTCTCTCTCTCTCTCTCTCTCTCTCTCTCTCTCTTTCTTTCTTTTTTTTCTTTCGATTAAACGGAATTAAATGTTCATATTTTTACGTATCGTTCGTTCGAAAAAAGATTGACGTAAAATATTATAAATATTCTCAATATTTTACAACGATAAATAATTTTCAAATGTCTAGATTTAAATTTACGAGATCGATCTTCGAACCCGATTTTCAAAGAGAGAGAGAGAGAGGGAGAGAGAGAGAGAGAGAGAGAACTTCGTCTATCGGCCTCTCGATGAAAAGCTAAACGAGGAAGGGTGTTTCGCGTGAGAAATTTATATCGCCGTCGCGATTAGAATCTACGTCGAATCTCGACTGTGAAATATGTTCTTACATTTATTTCGATGCTCTTTCGATATCTCTCTTCCTCCCCTCCCCTCTCTCTCTCTCTCTCTTTCTCTCTCTCTCTCTCTCTCTCTCTCTCTCTCTCTTTAGTCCGCCAAAACGGAAATTACGTTCCATGCCTTCGGACGATTTTCTCATGGTAGAGAGCTACCGTTCGATGTATTCTTGGATTCGATCGAATTTCTTCGAGGGACGAGGGACGGGAGAGCAGTCAGGAAAACAGATCGGTTAAGGGGGAGAGGAAGACAAAAAATAGAAAAGTATGGCTGAAAGTATAATAAAAATGTTGTCGCGCGAAGAAAACCTAAAAACGTTTTTTATATCTATATTTATTGAAGAATCTTTTTCTCCTTCTCTTATCTCTTGGTTGAACGAAGAAGCGAGGTTAAAGGATCTCTATGTTGCTCCCGTGAAATCTATAAGTCAGACTTATCCCTTCTCGGTCATTCCAGGAACCGCACACACATCTCTTACTCGTACGGTCATTCCTCTGGAGACTGATTCGACGAGCACGATTTAAAACTTGGACCGAGTTTATCTCTAAAAGCCCAACGACGGTCGGTAGGTATATAGGTATCCATGGAATTTATCATTCGAGCGTGTTCCAATTTTGAAGTCGCTGCGAAGGGTGAAATAAAAAAAAAAAAGAAAAGAAAAAAAAAGAAGAGAAAAGAAAAAATAATAAAAGAGAGAGAGAGAGAGAGAGAGAGAGAGAGAGAGAAGAAAGAGGGAGAAAAGAAAAAAATATAGAGAGAACGCGACGAACCCTTCGTGACGTTCTGTAATTACTTCTTCTTTTTTTTTTTTTTATCTTTTAACAAAACGCGAACTCTACTTTAACAAAGCGAAAGAGAGAGAGAGAGAGAGAGAGAGA